AAATAAATAAATAAATAAATAAATACATCAATAAATAAAAATAAATTCAAGTTGCAGAGAAAGGTAGGAGGGAGGAGGATTGGTGTAGTCTCTTCTACTGAGCATGATATAAGGAAATATGGCATAACTCCTGGGTGAGGTGTACAACTACAACAGGGACCTTACCTAACAAACACAGACATTATAACCTCATCCCTTATATGTATCCTTACTATTAATCTGAAATAAAACAAAAATAGAAAAATTGGGCGGTATGTGTGGCTCAGTGGGTAGGGTGCTGGCCCCACATTCCAAAGGTGGCAGGTTTGAACCCGGCCCCTGCCAAACTGCAACAAAAAAATAGCCAGGCATACTGGCAGGCAACTGTAGTCCCAGTTACTCAGGAGGCTGAGGCAAGAGAATCACTTAAGCCCAGTAGTTGGAGGTTGCTGTGAGCTGTGATGCCGCAGCACTCTACCGAGGGCGATAAAGCAAGATTCTATCTCTAAAAAATATGTACATAGATAGAAAAATTAGCTGAGTGTTGTGGTAGGTACCTGTAGTCCCAACTACTTAAGAGGCGGAGGCAAGAGGATTGCTTGAGCCCAGTAGTTTGAGGTTGCTGTGAGCGATGACATTATAGCACTCTAGCCTGGGCAACAGAGTGAGACTCTGTCAGAAAACAAAAATAAAGCCCACAAAACATTCTAACTGAAGATAGGCTCTGGATTGATAGCTTTGCCCATTACTAGTTTCATGATCTGGGACAAGTGATTTGACTGTGCTCCAGTTTCCTTATCTATAAAAGAGAAATAATACAAAAAAACAGAGAGAGAAAGAAATAATACCTACTGTAGAAGACTGAGCCAGGTGTGGTAGCTCATGTCTGTAATCCCAGTACTTTGGGAGGCGAAAGTAGGATGATCACTTGAGGCCATAACTTTGTGACCAGCCTGGACAACATAGTGAGAACTTGCCTCTACAAAAAACTTAAAAAGTTAGCCAGGCATGGTGCTGCTGGTGTGTAGTTTGCTACTCCAGAGGCAGGAAGATTGCTTGAGCCCAGGGAGTTGGAGGTTTATGCCATTGTACTCTAGCCTGCTTCAAAAAACAAACAAAAAACTAAACGTGTATGCATTTTCTCTAATGCTGAACCTTATGTTTTAACATCTTGGAGGTCAGAAAAGGTGTGCCTATCAAAGGTAATGAGTTGGACACAAGGAAATTTCAACAATGAGTCATGATGAGGGACCTCATTAAACCCAAGCACCTGACACAGGGGTAGGGACGTAGGGCAGGAGTTGTGTGGAGAAGGTAATTAGGGGGAAAGCCAGCATCAGAGCCTGGTGTTGCTCAGCAGCAGCACCGATGGGCCTGGGAACCTTGGCTTGAGAATTGGAGACAGCCATTTGCTTAGCAAGTCTGTCTACCATGTCCCCAGTGCAGGGATGTTTGAAATGTTAAGTTCTTTTGTCAAAGGAAAAAAACTGACTGAGAAACCAGACGCTAAAATTCTAGATTTCTATCTTGAAAGCTTTAAAATTTCAGGCAAGAAACTCAGGCTCTCTGAGCTTCAGCTGTCTCCACTTGTCAGGAACCAGAGAATCCCCAAGGAAAAGTGCAGGACAGTGTCCCTAAAGTCATGAAGCACTGCACAAGAAAGGACATCTGCTCAGAACAACACAATGAAGCTGAAAACCAGGCCTGTCCACCTCACGTGCCCACGGATCCCAGACCTACCTGGTGGCAGGAAGATGTGTTCAATACTAGCTTCTGGCCAACTGCTGGTACATCTGGTCACTAGGTTTGGACAGGTATTCAGTACCTTCATAAACCCAGGCAGACCTAGGAATTGTAAAGTCATTGGTGAAGTGCATCTCAGGCAGCTTGTGAATGCATCAGCTAAAGGGCTTAGGTCCTTCCAAAGCCTTCCAGACTCAGCCTTGGCTCCACAATGAAGTCTCCTGGGCACTTTCAGAACGCTGATTGCACACCCAACATATCAGCCTCCTGGGAAGGGGGTTCCCAGCAAAAGCAGATATTGACACTTTCCAGGTGATTCTAAGATGCAGTCAAGTGGAGAAGCACTGGCCAAGAAGCCTGTCCTTGTCCTGTTCATCTCACTTTAACCAGATGACGAGATTTCTCCTGGTCCTGGAAGTGGAGACTCCATTTCCCCACTGCCAGCCTAGAAAAAAAACAAGCCAAAAAGCCTCTCCCTCTAATCAGAACATCTGAGACTGCATTCTGAGTTTTCTCTTCCTTAGAATTCTCAGCAAATAAGTAAAGCAGACCTCAAGCTAGTAAATTAAATAGTTCCTTTTTTTTTTTTGTAGAGACACAGTCTCACTTTATTGCCCTTGGTAGAGTGCCGTGGTGTCACACAGCTCAGAGCAACCTCCAACTCCTGGGTTTAGGCAATTCTCTTGCCTCTGCCTTCCAAGGAGCTGGGATTACAAGCCCCTGCCACAACGCCCGGCTATCCTTTTGTTGCAGTTCAGCCGGGGCCTGGTTTGAACTCACCACCCTCAGCATATGGGGCCGGTGCTCTACTCACTGAGACACAGGCGCCACCCTAAATAGCTCCTTTTTTTTCCTTTTAAGACAGAGTCTCACTCTGTTGCTCTGGGAAGAGTGCCATGGTGTCATAGCTCACAGCAACCTCAAACTCCTGGGCTTAAGTGATGTACCAGGCTCTGAATACTGCTCCTAATCCCCACAAGAGTCTCACAAGGAGGTTCTCCCATACAGACTAGGGACACCCCAAACTGGCAATTATATGGACAAACCAATGTCCTCAGGCTGGGCCTTAAAGGTACTCAACAATTCTCCTTTCTCTCCTTCTACACCCACTAGTGGTCTGGAGAAGTCTGGAGATCACAAGTAGCCTATTACACAAAGTCCTATGGAAAAAACAAATACGGGCT